ATGGCTGCTGAGAAACAAGGGATGGCTCAAATTCCCCACAGGCTCATATCACCCCGCTCTCCCCTATTTATGTTCAGTCAGAGCAGGAGAAGGAAAGGCTGCTTCTTGCAGAGAGGTGGGGGAATGAGATAGATGGATGGAGGGAGCAAGAGGGCATTGAATGTAACAAAAAGAAGTAAAGGCAACAAAGGGAGGCTATCCAGTACCTTAAGGGATGAGTTAATTTACTGTCAAATCTACTGGTGGATTGTCAATAATCTCAGCCAGGCCGCTGAATTTACCCACTCAGTATTGGCTGCACTCTCAGAAAGAACCCTAGGCGAGGAGCAGGCACAGCTCAGTAATATAAAAGAGTGAAATGGAGGACAGGGTGTGTTTGTTTTGTGCTTGTATGTGCCCAAAATATAGCCAGACAGAGGGTGTTTCTCTACCCACAGAATTGGATTTTGAAAAAATGGCTTCAATTTTCCACTTCAGCAGATTTCAATTTACATAAACATCCCCCTCTGTGACTTGATCCTCCTATTATTGATAGCATTTAGGGGTGCTGTGATAAAAGATTTTCCATGTTTTTCATTGTTTTCCATCATTGGCAGGACACCTACTCATACAGGAAACTGTGTCTGTTACAACCCAGCTGTATGGCAAGGGATGTAACTATGTATCTGGATGTGGGGTAAATTCAGTAGACTGTACTAGCATGATGATGGAGGCTTTTTTATATTTTATTGGATTGAGCAGAAGCATAATCACATGTTTGAAAGTTGATTTGCCAAAGTTTTACAAGCCATCCAACACTTATATGGTTTTATTCTCATCACCTGCAGAGAGAACCAGGCATTACTTGACCCAGGGTTATCCTAGAGACAGGCCTTTTTTACTAATTACTAGAGCCCGACCAATTTATCGATTTGCAGATATTATCGGCCGATATAAGCTACTTGCAGATATATCTGCATTGGTGTTTATAACAGCCGATATGACTATTAAATAGAGAAGTGGAGAGTCTGCTCCTTCCCTCATGAAGTAAAAACAAAGAGATCATTCATTTTATTATTATAAATGAATATAATTGTATATTAGTTTTTTCCAAATTTTGCCCCTGTCAGTCAGGGGAATTGTCCTAACTTTCCCCCCTATAGGGCACCCCTGCATATATCGACAGAACACTGGGATGCCGGAGCTACGGTGAGTAGCTCCTGGTAGCTCAGTGTTCCCAGTGAGTTGGTCTCTATTTACATGACTTAAATAAAAATAAAAATAGCCCTTATCACTTTTCCCTCTTTGGACACCAGACTTGCTAACCCTCCCGTTTTTCCCTGCCCTCTCCAGGCTCAGCAGTGTGTTTAAAGCTAGGTTACCTAGTGTTGGAGGCTATGTTGCTGACAGACGTGATTGTAGATTTATTTGGCAGTTCTTGTGACCGGTCCTCTCATTTCTTTCTCATTTCTTACTTCTATCACTGCAGCCTTCTTCTGCTGTTTGTCGATCAACATAATGTCTGGTTGGTTAGCCATCACCAGTTTGTTGGTCTGGATCTTGAAGTCCCACAGGATCTTAGCTCGGTCATTCTCAACTACCTTAGGAGGTGTCTTCCATTTTGACCTTGGGACTTCCAGCCCATACTCATGGCAGATGTTCCTGTACACTATGCCAGCTACCTGGTTATGGCGTTCCATGTACGCATTTCCTGCCTGCATCTTACACCCTGCTGTTGCTGATGTGCTGTACTGTCTCAGAGGCATCCTTGCACAGTCTGCACCTGGGGTCCTGCCTGGTATGGTAGACTCCTGCCTCTATTGAGTCTCTATTGCCTTTTGTGCTGAGTGCCTGTTCTTGTGCCGCCATGATTAGTGCTTCTGTGCAGTCCTTTAGTCCAGCCTTTCCCAGCCACTGGTAGGATTTCAGCCACTTCTTCTATTTGTCTATGGTACATGCCATGCAGCGGCTTGTCCCTCCATGAAGGTTCTTCATCTTCCTTGTCCTCACCCTCGGATTTCTACTGCCTGAGGTATTCACTAAGCCCTTCATCTTTGCGGGCCTTCTTCTTGATGTACTCTTGGATCTTTGTCGTTTCATCCTGGACAGTGGTCTTGACACTCACTAGCCCTCGGCCTCCCTCACTACACTTGGTGTACAGTCTCAGGGTTTGGGATTTTGGGTGAAACTCTCCATGCATTGTGAGGAGCTTTCTTGTCTTTATGTCCTATCTCCTCCTTTGGCCAGTTTATTATACCAGCGGGCTATCTGATGACCGGCAGGGCTGTGTATGTGTTGATGGCTCAGATCTTGTTTTTCCCATTTAGCTGACTTTTCAGGACCTGCCTTACTCTCTGTAGGTATTTTGCTGTGGTGGACTTCCTTGCTGCATCCTCATGATTTCTGTTAGCCTGCGTCACCCCAAGGTATTTGTAGCTGTCCTGAACATCTGCAATGTGGCCTTCTGGTAGTTCAGTCCCCTCGGTTCTGATCATCTTCTCTCTCTTTGATACCATGCTGCCATACTTGTCCAGTCCGAACGACATTCCAATGTTGTTGCTGTAGATCCTGGTAATGTGGACCAGTGAGTCGATGTCTCGCTCATTTCTGGCATACAGCTTGATGTCATCCATGTAGAGGTGACTGATGGTTGTTCCACTTGGGAACCGGTATCTGTAGCCAGTCTTTGTGATGATCTGGCTGAGGGGGTTCAGGCCTATGCAGAACAGCAGCGGGGATAGTGCATCGCCTTGGTATATGCCGCATTTGATGGTGACTTGTGCAATTGGCTTTGAGTTGGCTTCCAGACTTGTTTTCCACAGCCCCATTGAGTTCTTGATGAAGGCTATTTTTGTCCTGTGGATCTTGTACATTTCCAAGCATTCCAGTATCCATGTATGTGGCATTACTAGTGCTTTTAGACCTCACTGCTGCTTTTGATACAGTAGACCATGCAGTTCTTATCTCTCGTCTAGAGCACTTGGTTGGTATCAGTTTAAGTCCTATTTGTTTTGACTTTGGTTCATCTACTGCCCCCCTTTGTGGTGTTCCACAGGTCTCAATTCTTGGACCACTTCTTTTTTCCCTATATGTCCTCGTCCTAGGAAACATAATTAGAAAGCATGGCATCTCCTACCACTTCTATGCGCACGACTCCCAAATATCTCTGCCTCTCAAAACAGGTGATAACAACTCCCTTGTACCTCTACTAGAGTGTTTAGTTTAAAACAGTTTTTATCACTTGAGGCTTTTATCTAAAATTAAACCTGTTTTATCGTGTAAGCACTTTGAGCATGTGATTCATGCTTTTATCTCAACTCAAGGACTACTGTAATGCACTTTACATTGGTGTTAATCAAACCTCTCTCTCACGCTTACAGTTAGTACAAAACTCGGCTGCTCATCTTTTAACCGGAACTCGCAAGCATGAACGCATTACACCAGTCCTGGCCTCTCTACACTGGCTCCCGGTCCATTTTAGAAAACATTTTAAGATCTTATTGTTTGTTTTTAAATCACTGAATGGGTTGGCACCTTGCTACATCTCAGACCTCTTACAAGTCAACACCCCCTCATAGTCACTCAGCTCTACTGATCAACTCCAAAAACCAGGTTAAAAACCCTGGGCGACTACGATCCCATCTAAAACTCACTTATATTCCCTGGTTTTTAACCCAGCATGAGAACTGTGTGGTCTTGTTTTATGTGTTCTATGTGTTTTTCTATGTGTTTCTATGTTTTATTTCTTGTCCAGCACTTTGTAATTTTTTGTTGTTTTTTAAAATGTGCTATATATATATAAAATGGATTGGATTGGACAATTACAAACAATTTAATTTAATGTTCATCAGAAGTAGGACTCTATAATTTATAATAAATCAGATATTTTAAAAATGTTTTCTGTAGTTTTATACATTTGACTCTTATTTATCAAAACTTGAATATATTTTGTTCTACTTTTGTTCAGAGTAGTATTTCTAAACTGCATTATGTCTTGGTATCTTGGTGAGGTCTCAACATAACAAATGTTAGGGATTATCTTATTATCTATTTATGTTGTGCATTTCTTAAAATAAGGGTGGAAAAGATATCAAAATCGATATTGGACTTAAAAATCCCCTATCGGTCGGGCTCTATTTGTAAAGATATCCAGCCTTACATTGTTATATAGAATGAGGGCTTACAATACCTTCTCCACATCTTGGAGCTGAGGTACCACATATCAAATAGGAAGTCATCCATCGAGAAACATTTACACCTACATTTGCCGATGTTTGCCGATGTTTATTTTTGTTCGCACTCAATGGGACTTCAGTGAGGCATCGCCTAGGCATGAAAAGTACATACATGTATGAAAGTGCAGTACTAGCAGGGGGCCATAATGACAGAAGCAAAGGACAAACGTAGTGTAAAGACACACAGGACTTTCTAACTGGAGACCGGGTTTTGTTTTTCATGTGAAAATAGTCAACGTTGATTATTTTAAGGAAGGAGTTATTTTAAATCAAACCATAATTTTTTCTTAAAGAATACGTACGTGCAAATGTCACTGAGGTTGGGTTTGATTCTGGTCATGGTCCTTACTCTTCAACACAACAATTAGTTATTAAGGATAATTCGCTCAATCAGTCTCAATATCTAAAGAGAATCCTCCATGCTGGGACCTGGATTAGAAACAGCATACACACACGCCGTTCCATGATTACAGTGAAATAATTATTTACTAACTAAGGTGAAGACAAGTGAGGTAAAATATAAGTAAGGATAAATATATAGGACAGAACAAACACTGATCAAATGGCAAAAACAAAATGCAATTAGAAATTACATTACTTGCTGTGTTGTTATTTGCTCTATATCATGGTATATGTAATGGTATTGGTTTTCTTTTAACCCGTGTTAATTAGTGTTACTTTATGGTAAGTCTTACCAGAGATACTTGGTTGAGTAATACAAGTAAATATATCCATCTTTGAGAATATCTAAATAGAAGAATAATTGCTATCCTTGTCCTTGTCCAGGTGGTGTATAAGAACAATGACATCCGTCTCGAATTGTCCCGCCTTGCTCGAATTGTTGACCCTAAGATGAAAATCCAGGGTGAGGTGTCCTACAAATGTGAGAATGTGGCCACCCTGGACCCCATATCTTTTGAGACTCCCGAAGCCTACATCAGCCTCCCCAAGTGGAACACCAAGCGGATGGGATCCATCTCTTTCGATTTCCGCACAACCGAACCCAATGGCCTCATCCTCTTCACCCATGGCAAACCCCAGGAGCGCAAAGATGCTGCCCGCAGTCAGAAGAACACCAAGGTCAGTCCAGAATCTCTAAGATTTAGTTTAAACTCCACTTTAAGAAATGCCATGTTAATGATCTGTAAATATTGCGACAAAGGATTGATGAATCCCCTTGGGTGATCGGCAAAATCTTGTCTTTATAATAATTAGGGCTGGGCAAGTTAACACGTTATTATCATGTTAACGCATTAATTAACACTGACAATTATTTTATCGCACGTTAATGCAGTTTTTATTATTATTATTATTATTTTGAAAGTCTGTTGCTCACTGGCTCTGAATACACACACAGTCATCATACAGGTGCCTGTTATTATGTTATGATCGTGGCTCTGGACTCTAACTTGTTTTAACAAGCTAGATAAAAGGTAATGCCCTGGCAGCGGCAAATCAGTTTGGTTTTATATTTGATTTGATTACATTAATGTTTAAGTTCAAGAAATATTTTATTCCTACTGTGTAAAGGAAATACTGCTGGCACCTTATTTGTTTAAAGTGTTTACACACCACATGTTATTCCACTTTTGTGTATATAGCAGTACATTTAAATTAAAAATACCCAATACACTGCTTTAGAATTCATTATTCAATTTAACGCATAACTATGTGATTAATCGCTATTAATCGCAATTAAGAATTTTAAACGTTGCCCGGCACTAATAATAATAATTATACAGGATGACTGAGAATCTTAGCAGGCATCATATGTCATTAGAACGTGTTTAGAGCAGTGGTTACCAACCTTTCTGGCTTGTGATCCATTTAACTGAAGTAATGTTTCCTCATGACACAGGTTGCATATGTTAATAAGTTGCAGTTTAGTGATATTCAACAGGTTGTGTATCTTATTTCCTATCTTGTGAATCATCTCTTGAACTTTTTAGATATAAACTCAGCAAAAAAAGAAACGTCCTCTGACTTTCAACTGTTTTTTCTTTCAGTAAACTTAATGTGTGTAAATATTTGTATGAACACTAAAAGAGTCAACACCATAAGACATAAACGAAAAATGTTTCACAGACATGTGACTAACAGAAAGAGAATAATCTGTCCCTGAATGAAGGGAGGCTCAAAATCAAAAGTGCCAGTCAGTATCTGGTGTGGCCACCAGCTGCTTGAAGTACTGCAGTGCATCTCCTCCTCATGGACTGGACCAGATTTGTCAGTTCTTGCTGTGAGATGTTACCCCACTCTTCCACCAAGGCACTTGCAAGTTCCTGGACATTTCTGGGGGGAATGGCCCTAGCCCTCACCCTGCGATCCAACAGGTCCCAGACGTGCTCAATGGGATTGAGATCCGGGCTCTTCGCTGGCCATGGCAGAACACTGACATTGCTGTCATGCAGAAACTCACGCACAGAACGAGCAGTATGGCTGGTGGCATTGTCCTGCTGGAGGATCATCTCCGGATGAGCATGCATAAAGGGTACCACATGAGGGAGGAGGATGTCTTCCCTGTACCGCAAGGCATTGAGATTGCCTGCAATGACAACAAGCTCAGTCCGATGGTGATGTGATATACCGCCCCAGACCATGACGGACCCCCCACCTCCAAATCGATCCCGCTCCAGAGTACAGGCCTCGGTGTAACGCTCATTCCTTCGACGATAAACACAAATCCGTCCATCACCCCTGGTGAGACAAAACCATGACTCATCAGTGAAGAGCACTTTTTGCCATTCCTGTCTGGTCCAGCGAAGGTGGGTTTGTGCCCATAGGCGGCGTTGGTGCTGGTGATGTCTGGTAAGGACCTGCCTTACAACAGGCCTACAAGCCCTCAGTCCAGCCTCTCTCAGCCTATTGCGGTCAGTCTGAGCACTGATGGAGGGATTGTGTGTTCCTGGTGTGACTCGGGCAGTTGTTGTGGCCATCCTGTACCTGTCACGCAGGTGTGATATTCGGATATACCGATCCTGTGCAGGTGTTGTTACACGTGGTCTTCCACTGCGAGGATGATCAGCTGTCCTTCCTGTCTCCCTGTAGCGCTGTCGTAGGCGTCTCACAGTGCGGACATGGCAATTTATTGCCCTGGCCACATCAGCAGTCCTCATGCTTCCCTGCAGCATGCCTAATGCACGTTCACGCAGATGAGCAGGGACCCTGGGCATCTTTCTTTGGGTGTTTTTCACAGTCGGTAGACAAGTCTCTTTAGTGTCCTGCGTTTTTAGAACTGTGACCTTAAGTGCCTACTCTCTGTAAGCTGTTAAGGTCTTAATGACCATTCCACAGGTGCATGTTAATTAATTGATTATGGTAAATTGATTGTTTAAACCCTTTACAATGAAGATCTGTAAAGTTGTTTGGATTTTTATAACATTATTGTTGAAATACACAGTCCTGAAAAAGGGACGTTTCTTTTTTTGCTGAGTTTATATTGTGACCCCTTGAGGGTTTGTGGTCCCTGGGTGTTCCAATCAGTCTAGAAAACTTTAATTTATTACCACCATTATAGAATCACATTGGTTTTGTGTATGAAATTGACAAGTCAGATTTCTGCTACTCTACTTATACCTGTTGCACTAACTGGGTCGATTTTGGGTCTGATTCACCCCTCCTGACAGTTGCGTGGGAGTTCCCAATTCGAGGATGGTCTGAACAGATTATCTGCCCAAATGATCCTGTAGTATAAGATGTTTACAGATATAATGTTAAAATTACCAACTGCATTGGGGTCACCTCGATTTTGAATTGTAAATATCCCACGTGTTTGAGTCGAAATCATGTAGTGTGAAAGGAACACAGATGGAATATTGAGCTAAAACCCACAATAGCCATTGAGAGCAAGCTGGCTGGGAAGCATCACCAACTGGATGTTGTGTACTTGCACGTACCATGAAATGTACAAGCCATGCTGATTCCATCTACTCAGCCACAACATCATCTACAGTTTTATTTTGTCTTTTTTAGTTTGCCATGTTTCTTTCTGAAGTCACGTTTGATCATGTGAGTTTGGGATCCCAAGTCACCACTCTGAAATCGTTGTAGTAACTTAATCGCCAACTGTGTGGTTTTGCGTCTTGACAAAAATCAGTAAAAGTTGTTTTTCTATGGTAAAGCGTGTAAAATCAGTTAAGATGTGTCTGGTGTGTACCAGGCATTAAACAGTAATTTTACACCAGCGGTGATTCACTGATGTCTCTGGTTGAAAGTTTAAAGTTGTCTCTGACCTCAAATAGCTGAGTGTAGTTGGATATGGTCAGGGCAGTGCTCTAGTGCACCTGTGACCACATCTAGCAGTGATATCATGTTGTACTTCTACATCTCTGCAGCAACAGGAGAAGTTTAACTACTGGAAATTAGCCTGCACATTTCTATTAAGTTGCTCTTTAATGGCACAGAGCAAATACTTGTTAAATTAAAGGTTGTCCTTGGACTGTTTTGAAGTATTTACAGATTACATGTTCTATGGTATTTACAGTTGCTTAATGATTCACCTTTGCTTACACATATTACTTAACTGTATTGTGCATTGGTCACATGTCAAGCCTTTTTTATAAAAATCATAACACAATGCATACAGCTTTAATGCAAATCAAAAAATCACAAATAAAAACGTCATCTTGCATTAACTTTTTTTCAGCAATTAATTTTTTTCAATTATTTAGAATGTCTGTTCATGTGTTTTTCTGCCCTTGTCCAGGTGGATTTCTTTGCAGTAGAGCTGCTGGATGGCAGTCTATACCTGCTGTTGGACATGGGCTCAGGGACTATCAAGGTGAAGGCCACCCAGACAAAGGTTAATGATGGTGCTTGGTATCACGTGGACATCCAAAGAGATGGACGCTCAGGTCAGTTGTGTTGGTGAAGTTGGTGAAACAGTGAGGTGTAGTAATTCAAATAAGCATTTTATATTATAGCCCCTAATACCTCCAAATCCCTGACAGTTGACAGTGCAACTCTTTCCTTTCCTTTTTCCAAATAAATAATCTTCCTGAGCTCTCCTCCAGCCCCCTGACATACACACGCAGTATTTTTTGTCAAAAATACCAAAACGTATTGTCGGTTTCAAACTCGATGCCCACCTCATCTCCAACAACCTTTTTCGAACCATTTTTATCCGGTTCTTGCTCACAGCACAGAACTAGCTCTCCTCAAAGTCACCAACGACCTCCACCTCTCTTCAGACTTTGGTCATCTCAGCATTCTTATCCTCCTTGACCTCACTGAAGCTTTCAACACCATCAACCACACCATTCTTCTCTCTCCATCACCGACTTCCTCTGGCTGAGGTCATATCTCACAGACAGCAGTTCATCAGCATCATCAACTGCACCTCCTCCATCATTGCTCCGTCCCACTTTCCCACCTAAAAAGCATTTACGCTCATCACTCTCCTTGTCTGATGCCGAAACTTTGATCCATGCCTTTATCACATCCAAATTTGACTATAGCAATGGCATTTTTTACGGCTTAAAATATGTTATTGATGATGAGTGTTATACATTTTTGTGTTTCCATTATCATTTTATCTTAAATTGTAATAATGTATATTGAGGTTTGTTGACTTTCCTTTTAAAAGAAAAAATTAAGTAAACTGAATTTAATATCATTCTAAAACACATTTCAATAATACAGTACTGACTTCCAACAATATATATAAAGTACACTAAAAGCTTTCTTATATTCTGATCAGGATGAATTATAGTTCTTTGCTTCCATCATTGTGTTTATAATACGATTTCTTCCTGACATCACAATTCTATCTTTTACCGCTGTACCTGATCTCTACTTCCTCTATTCCCACCCCAGGCACCATCTCTGTAAACAGCAGAAGGACCCCATTCACAGCTAGTGGTGAGAGCGAGATTCTGGACCTGGAAGGTGACATGTACTTGGGGGGACTTCCCAATGACCGCACCAACCTCATCCTGCCCACCGAGCTCTGGACAGCGATGCTCAACTATGGCTATGTGGGCTGTGTCCGTGACCTTTTCATTGATGGTCGAAGCAAGGACATCCGTCAGATTGCTGAGGCACAAAATGGCGCTGGCATTAAGCCTTCATGCACCAAGCAAACTGTCAAGCAGTGTGAAAGCCACCCATGCAAAAACCGAGGTGTCTGCAAAGAAGGCTGGAATCGATTCATTTGCGACTGCACTGGCACTGGCTACTGGTCACGCACCTGTGAGAGAGGTAAATGTGTGTTTAGATGTGCGCATGCTTTTTTCTCTTGCATAAATAGTAAGGTAATGTAGGCTTTGTACGAACGGAATGTGGTATTAGGAGACAAATTCAAACTGTGTCCCATTTAAGGAATCGCTTCCTTTGAAGGCCACAGCTCGTTAGGCTGAATCTTTACCTCTCAAAAGTTTATCATCATGCCATAGTGAGGTCCAGCCAGAGAACAAAACCGCCGCCAAGCAAAAGTACTTCTTAAACGATGCATTGATGAAATAATCTGTATAAGCTTTGAGTACTAAAATCATTGTTAGCTGCAGCCCTAGAATTTAGTATTTGTATCCTCCAAATCTGAACTCAAGTAGGCCACTTTTCTGAGCCCTATTTGGACAAGCCGTTGCAACAGGTGAGCCTTTTTGACACGTTAAATGATATTCAGTCTTGAAATGTAGTACACGAAGAAGGTGGAGCTTCAGTCTTCAGTGAGTTGTCTGGCCTGAGAGTGGTGGTGAGCAAAGGTGGTACCTAGTGTGGCTGTATGTTGTTTATTCGAGTTTGAGTGGTGGAGTTCTTCTATTTGTCACAATAAAGCACTGCTCTGATGATGCGTTGATGCATTGTTGGCAGTTTATTTCTGTTTATGGAGCTTTAGATGGACTGGTGGATTGGTGCGGCATCAGCAGTAATGCAGGCATTGTACAGAACTGTTTATCTACCAGTCAGTCTTCGTTCTAACTGTCACCTGTAGTCACAAGCTTTGCTTTAGGTAATGACCGAAGGAATTCCTCCGTAAAATGGCTGGGCTTACCCTTAGAGGGTAAAGAGCTCAGACATCTGGAGGAAGCTTAGAGTAGAGCTGCTGCTTCTTCGCATCGAAAGGAGTTGAGGCAGTTTGGGCATCTGATTAAGATGCCTCCTTGGTGCCTTCCTTTGGAGTTTTTTTCGGAACGTCCAACCGGTAGGAGGCCCTGGTGTTGTGCCAGAAAATGCTTGAGAGATTATATATGTCATCTGTATTGGGATGCCTTGGGATCCCTTAGGAGGAGCTGGAAAATGTTGCTTGGCAGAGGAGCTGAATCAGACCTACAGTTGAATGCCTATTAATTTGTTTAGTAATTGACACTCGAACAATCTCCTTAGATATCAAAGATATGACTTTTGCTGTGTGACATATTATATATGTATATTATATTTCATAAAAACAGAAAATAATTTCTCATAATATTACTGGAGGCTTCATTCCAGGCAAAGAAGCCAGCCTCTGTTGTAATGGGCAGCAGGAAACCCTCGCTTAGTAACGTCCTATTATATTACAAAAGTCTTCTGGGTGGCCTCACTGTTCAGTTTTCACTTATTGCTGTATCACTGTTTGCTGGCAATGCTCTCTCCAACACCATGTGAGTTTTTAGTATTTTTTAGCATTGCTAACTTGTATGTCTGCAGCTATCTCTGAATTTGAACTATGCCTCAACGTGTACAGCTTTTTCCACCAAATCTAAACATACAATTTTTTTTGTCAGTTCCTTGATGTGCTGTGAGTGTCTTCTCTAACCGAAGCATGGTCATGCTTTGGACAGAGGCAGTGCACTTACTATCTGGGTGAAGGGTAATTAGTGCAGGGTTTTCTCTTGTGTCTAAGGTGCCTTGAATGTTAGGAGAAGCATTCTTCAAAACTGAAGACTGGTGAATATACTGTATGTATTAACTTGTAGTGATTATACCGCAGGGCAATGACAGGCCTTACGAGGATAAAGGCCATGCATCTGAAAGCTTAGGACAAGAATTTCACTCTGTTTTGAACACTACTATAGTCAGAAAAGCATTATGGTCATTTTGCTAAGTACATTTTGGTCATGATTCTTATTTGATTTCCTTTTTTCCTTTATTCTTTATCACAAGTGAATTGAACTGAACGGATTGCTTTGCAAGTGGACTGAATTGAACTGAACTGACTGTCAAAGTTCAATTCAAAATGAAAGATATCTGTTTTAGTGTTATATTGGTTTTTAGGTATGTGTGAGTGTGGTGGTGTATTATGCTCTATGCTTGAGTCCTATGTGTGATTTACTAACCTGAGATATACTAAACACTAAAAATATTTACTTACACCCCCCCCCCCCCCCGACTCTGACTGCACTGTGCACCAAAAATATGAATTGTTATCTCTAGAAAATTAAACTGTTAACTTGTGAAAATAGTTTCCTTTCCAGGAATGATAAGAAATTTGTATGGGATGACACAGCTGGATAAAAAGCATAAATCCTAACTGTCTATTAGAGAAAGTGAGAGACAGACAGCAAAAACAAATACTGAATAGTTTGAGTGTCCAGGTTTAGTTTAGATACTCTTATCATTTTGTTGTGTTTTCATTTTGGACATGCTGGTTTTTTTTCCTGATCTACTTAAACACAGAAAAAAAAGAGTAAGAAATGGAAAGAAGGGGACAGTGAGTTACTGAAAGAGAACAAGATAAAAGGGGTGGGGGGGATAAGAGTGAGCTTGTTTTCTACAGCCAGAGCTAGTCATGTCCTTACTTGTGAGTTGTCTAAATCCATTATCTTCTACTGCCAACAAGGCAGCCCACAGGACATGAATGCGTGCACACACACACGCACCCCCCCCCCCCCCAATTCTCCATGGAAATGTTTCCGGTTTGTATTTTCAGTGTACAGTAAAAGCCTGGACTGCTGTGTGACGGTCCAGCAGTATTATGCTTATCGTGGGGACAATGCAGTTGTTCTGTACCATAACATGGTTTGGCAGCCATGACTAATAAGTGCATACACACAGTTTTAACACATAATCAACATAGACACTGAAACATCTCATGAGAGAATATGCTTCTGAGCACATTCAGAGTAATTTACAAATGCTTAAGCGATACTGCAAAGTGCACTCCTTTTAACAACATATAAAATAAATTAGGGAGTATTTTTAAAATTGTTCCACTGGAACATTGCAGACTCTGATACTTTGTGGGGTAGATTGAGGTGAACCTACATCAGGGTGAGTTGAATATGTTTTATCTCAATTAATGAAATTTGAGCCTATCTTCAGGCTGTTTGACTGCAGTCAATGAAACATAAAGACTAATGGAAAAAGGAGAAGAAAACTGAAATTAAGTTCCTGGTGAGGTCTGAGAGAAGTATGACATCAGTCTCAGCCTAAACTGTCGCATAAACACACACAGCTTCTACCACACACCTGTTCAATATGTGTATCTATGCTGGTGATCTACAGCTAAGGTCTTTACGTCTGTACCCCAAAAAGTGTCATAACCAAATAGTGACAGACAACAAATACACTCGAGAGATATAATTACTTGAAGACCGCCAGGCAAACATTTGCTAGACATTTAAGAATTCACTTCACTCTTTCTAAAGCATACAGTTGTTAAAGGTGGGGTAAGCGATGATGGATTTAACACCATGACAAAAACCATGATAAAGAGTGAAAAATGACACAGCCAGGAATGTAACTAATGTTAGCTAAGTTGTTGGCAAGCATACTATAGTTACAATTACTGCTGTGAGGCTAACTTGCAGAGAGGACGAGACCAAACAGCGATACTCACAACTCTCCTGCTGCTATAGCTAACATCACAACAACAGCAAAGTAGAAAGTAAGCTAAATGTCTGTGGCCAAGTCATTTAACGTTACCTGACACACAAATCATTGGCTGGATTGGCTGGAAAAGTGTTGTGTGGCATGGTGCAGGACACTTTGTTTGTTTCCCATTTTCAGAGCTGTGTACAAACACCAAATTTATTTTCAGAGCACACAGAAAACAGACCCTAGAAGTGGACCGTGAGGAGATATTGCTTGGCTTTTTCCCCCTATAACTTGAGTGTGCGTGACACATGCAGTGTTGCACTTGCCTTCCTTTGCCTCATTGCACTTTCACTGTGTTCTAGGAATGGTGCAGGGAGAGCAGAAAGATTGTATTCAAAAATTATTTTATTTTATTTCTGACTGTTAAGTTTCATGGTAAGGGCTCCCCTGCCACATCACCCATCTTCACACATATGCAGCTGTCTGCCAGAGAGCATTCCACTGCCCTTCTGACCAGTTTTCCGTTGTGGTGTCCAGACAGTTTAATATAGACTGATCAGAGTTGAAAACTAATTAACACAACCCCAGCCCCCATAAATTGCTTTTACTGCTTTTTTGCATATCAAATAACAGCTTTGTGATCATATCTCTCTATCTATAGCAGTTTTTCTCTTTCTACATCCAGTGGACCGCTGGATGATAATTTCCTCTGAATCTCATTTTCACTTTTGAAAAGAAAAGTTGTAGGGCATCAGGTGGTGAATCTGATACGGGGTGTACATTTCACCTTGAATTATTTTGCAAGGGGTATTTTATTGAAATAGTGGAATATTATTATCAAGAGCCAAAGATAGTCAGGATTACATCTATTTAATTTACATTAACACTATAATGTGGCTTTATATGTGTGAACATTGCTGTGCACATGCATATGCGCCAATGCTGTTTCCCTGGTAGAGTTCTTAGTACTGTTATGATAACTATTACTCTGTAATACTCTGTACTACATCAGTCCCTGGATGCAGGTGGCTAGAACGGCTCAATTCATGGGTAAGGATGAGCTTTAATCCTGCAAAATCCAGGTCTCTGGTTATCAACAAAGAGTAACCAACCACTTCAGCTTCACTGTAGGAGGCACCCAAATAAAAAAGAACTGTGATTGGTCTGCTTGGTAGCCTTGCATATCCTCCAAGCTCCCAGGAAGTGCTCCATGCTTTGAGGCCAATTTTACTAGTGGCTAAACAAGCGGCTGAAGGATACAGCGGCACACAAAGCAACAGGCGATGGTTAAATTCAAGGCAGGGATTTACAAGCATCTGCCTCAACTCCTCTGGCATACAGTGGGTACGGAAAGTATTCAGACCCCTTTAAATTTTTCACTCTTTGTTTCATTGCAGCCATTTTCCAAAAATCAAAAAAGTTCATTTTATTTCTCAGTAATGTACACTCAGCACCCCATCTTG